GGAAAGATGATTTCTCTAAAAAAATAAGTATGTCTTCAGCTTTCTGGAATTTGTAGGAATATTGTGTCGTCAGTCTAATCTGGGAAATTAGAGTATTTCAGAATTGGGGAGTAACATTTCTGTTAGTGATTGCTTTTTCAGCTCTCATTGAGAAGGCAGATCACTGTGTTTCCTGTCAACTGTCCAGAAGACACCGAAGAAACATTCTGTGACTGTTCCCTTAAATCACAGATAGATATAGCTATAGATACAGATATATATTTAACTCCAGGTCTTTGCTTGTTTGAATTGGCTGTGGTTGTTGAAGTTAATTTATAAGCATGGTTGTATTTTTTAACTTCACATAAATTATTTACTCTCCACTCTACGAAACCAGTGTTTCTTCTGTATTGTGAATTTTATTCACTTACGGTTGTTTGTCTGTCTTTCACACTGGCAACAGATTAACCACAGTCAGTTCTAGCACTTAGTTACTGTGGTATAGCATAAATTGTTTCATGAGCTCACCTCATATTTATTAATGGAAGAGATTTAAATGTGATCTGTCTGATATCTTTTAGTCTCTGAAGAAATATTTTTTCCAAAACCTGTGCTGTAATTAATCTCCTGGAAACCTGAGGGAAAAAGAATTCAAATTACTTACAAAAGCTGTTTTCTGGTTCTTAAGCTTCTTAGCAAAATGAAGGAAAACACACCCCTACTTAAATATCACCTTTTTTAAATGTCTCTGTAACACCATTTATTTTTGCAATAAAGTCCCATTTGTTGTAGTAGAATAAAATCCTACAAACACATACTCTAAATATGAGCAAATTCTGAACTACAGAACACTGACTTAAGCTTTAAAACACTGTTTACTGTTGGCTAATGAATGCTTGCTTCTCCTAACAATTTTGAAAGTATAAACCAAGGAAGGCTAGGTTACAGAAATGCCTGATCAACAGTATAAAAAGACATGTTACAACATTTCTAATCTAGGGAATCCCCTTAATGGGTAAGCACAGTATGATTTGGGAAAGTAATTAAATACCTCTAATGTGCTTAGTCACCCAAAAAAAAGGTAAAAGAGTTTTACTTTAAGAGTTACTTTAAAAAGTTAAGAACTTGCACATTATTCAGTGATACAGTTTCTGAGCACAGGTGTGCTACTGGACACACTTCAAAGACTTGTGAATTTCAGACAAGCTAATCATCTGCACTGGAAAATTTGGACATCCATTTAAAAATAATTAACTCAAAATAGAAATGCCCAAATCTGCAAACAGTATTAAAAATTCTTGGCTCCTAGATGTGAAATCTGCTTACCTCAACTGCCAAGAGGTTATTTGCACACTGCAGACTGTGTTCTTACCTAGTTGTAGAAGGTTTGTTTTTCTCACACCCTACATCTTGTGTGGGTGCATTAGGACAAACGCTGTGGTGAAAAAGATCTTTTCATGCAAGTGACTTCAGAACAAGGTTTAAAAGTACAAGTTTAAATCCTCATGTCTCTGCTACCTATTTCAGCATAACTTGTTAAGCTACAGACAATGGAGTGTTTGGACCCCTTATAAGAGATACCGATGTGTTTCTTATCTTTAATAATAGTTTCATATGTTAAATGTGTCTTCCATTATGTTGCAGGAGGCCAAATGTGCATATATCATCATCATCATGGCTGTGTACTGGTGCACTGAAGTGATCCCACTGGCTGTTACCTCCCTCATGCCTGTGGTATTTTTCCCTCTGCTCGGAGTTCAGAGTTCTAAATCAGTAAGGAACAGTTCTTGCTCAATCCGGATCTGATGCGGGGATACCCGTTGCTCTGATCCCCCATCAATATTTAGCAAACAAGTCTGATGATAGGAAAGCGCTTCAGTTGTGTGGTGCTGTTTTTGAACATGTTGAGCAGTGTTCAGGATTCCTGTATGGGAAGATACTGAACTAAATACACATTTGCCCAAAATGTTACAGGTGTGGGGCTTGAGGTGGTAGAGGGGAAGGTCTGTTTCTGGGTGTGGATCCTGCTGGAGAGCAACCCGCTAGTGCCAGCAGCTTGTGTGTTCATAACCCATCCCATGAGAGAGCAGTGCTGACATATCCTGTGGGAGATTTCAAAATGCATGGACAAACTTCTGACAGGGTAAACAGAATGATGCCAGCAAGTACACTGCGTCCCCTCCAAAGCTCGTTTTGGCTGTTTGTGCTAGTGCTTTAGTCCAAGGGAGACAAGGCTGTGTTTAGGTCCTGTAGCCCAGGTTCGCTACTGGCCAACAAGCTGGTAAGGACAGGTGTGCTAAAGGTGCTGAGAAATCCGGTTTGGAGCTTAGCATTTCTAGTACCTACACAATACTTTGAGCCCCTAACGATGCTTTAGGAAACTGCTGTCATTTTGTACTTTATTAACTCCTGATGATCCAAAACAAAGGTTCATGATGCACAAAGAGCCCCTGCACTAGACAGGGGCATTTAAACAGGGGATCAAGAGTTCAGGAAACTGGAGGTAGCTCTGAGGCTGCTACTGCTCCTTCTGCCGATGTTGGGATGGGGCCTGGTGCAGTAAATGGCTTTGAGAGGATGGAAGGCAACATGTACTAGTGAAGCTAGCAAGAGGCAACATTTGGGCCACTGACCTACCTTCTCTGTCTTTCAGGTGTGCTTGCAGTACCTAAATGACACAAACATGCTCTTTCTTGGAGGGCTGATTGTTGCAATTTCTGTTGAACAGTGGAATCTTCACAAAAGGATTGCGCTGAGGGTCCTGCTGATTCTTGGGGTGAAACCTGCCCTGTAAGAGTATTACATTATTTCTTCCTTGCCTGTGACAATTTAGCAGAGGCCTAGGGATGGTGTTTTTAACACTCAGCAGAGAAGGGGGCCTTTAAGAACCTCTTTAGCTGCACTTGTACAGAGCTTCCAGAGGTGAAGTCTGGCAGCAGGAACAGTTTATTTGTCCTTTAGCAAAAAACCACCATCTGCCTAATTTCTAGATGCTTACCATTGGGGACAAAATGATGACAGACTTAATTATGAGCAGACTAAGGAGCTAAATGGCTTTCTGGGATTCCTTCAGTGAAGGTGGCAGAACTGTCCTAGAAGGGAATCTGGCCCTGCTTTGTATTACTGGATGCTACACACATCCCTGCCCTGGGCTCTACTGTCAAAATTACAGTGACTACAAAGCTTAGCAGCATCTGTTTTCTTTCCTCCTTTGTCCTCTGTCTGTTTTTCTCTTTTCAGCCTCATGCTGGGATTTATGATAGTCACTGCCTTCCTGTCCATGTGGATAAGTAACACAGCCACCACTGCTATGATGGTTCCCATTGTACAGGCTGTCCTGGATCAAATGGACAACACGGAGTATGATGTGACCATGATGGAGGAAGCAACCGGGCAAACAAATACAGTGATTGAGCTGGAGGAAAAGAATGCATCAGATCCCACTTCAGTGCATGGTAAGGGCCTACTCAGCAGTGAGTTGATTCTGCTGAACTTGCTACACTCAGAGCTCCCTGACCTAGAAGGAGTTCTCTGCACCTTTTCCAAGGAAAGAGGATGGTAACCTGACTGAAAATCCCTAAATGCATGACATGTAGGCTTTACAAAATGGCTTCCAATTTTGGTGGCTGACATTTTGTTATGCTTAGTGCTAAATCCCATGCAGATTGTTAATGTTGGGGTCATCCTTCTATAGTTTCTCTAGACTTAAGTGCCTGCTCAGGGAAGTGACAAGCATATCCTGTGGGAAATACCGTCCAACCCCCTAGCATCCCACTTTCTAAATCTTGTGATTATCAGTGGGGATTCAACTTCTAAGCCATGCAGGAGTGTTTGAAAAATTTTGTGCAAATACAACCTATTTTGGTTCTGGGGTAATATATATCTCTTTATTGAGAGATACATTCCACAGATTATATGTGGAAGTGGGAAGAAGAAAGAGGAATACTTTAAACGCTACATGGAAAGTAGCTGGTGTCATTTGACTCACAGTAGACAAACTACTCTTTGGAACACTTTAAAGTGTGATCTTATCCTGATACTTTACTCCACAAGGTCCTTCTGTCAATGCTGTGGTTCTGCAGTAGGTTTCACTTGACTTCAACCACGCGCACAAACTCAGTCCCTCTGATTTCAGTGCTCTGCTGTGCTATAGCAGAGGGGTATATTATTAAATACCATTAAAGATCTCTTTCAGAGGAGGAAGGATTGTCTTGGGGATTTTCATGGAGGTGTGATTTCACTGAATTAGCAAGTTGATCTGCCACAATTCCCTTTGTGACTCTGTGCAAGAACGAGTGAAAATGGTGGTGGTGCGTACTGTGTCCCACACCTCAAGCCTTCTGCCTGGGACACACCATACCCATTTTCTGGCTTACACGTCCATGGAAGACACAGTGTAGAAGGGTGTTTATGTGTCCCAGACATTGCCCTGTTATGAGATTGACTAATAACTGCCATATTTGTTTGAACTTTGGAGACATAGTTTAGGTACAACTGTGATCTCTGATTTTTGGTTGCTTCATTTCTTACCTCACTTGCGAAGGGGGAATGCACTGTGATTGTGCAAAGCTCAGATGCAGTGTTTATGTAAGATGTGCAAGCCCACCAGAATGCCACTTGATCACAGAGTGCTCTGTAAGGTTGCTCATATCTAGCTTCCAAACAGTTGTATTAAAGATAAGTTTTCATATTTGAAAATACTCTTTTTAATGTTGATTCTTGACTCCCAAAACTGGACTTCTGCTCTAAGACCAGTAATAATAATTTTGCTGGCTTTCTGTCTACTTAGAAGGATCTGCTTGGCTTTGCTGACTAATTTATTTTAACATGTAGTGAAGGTAATAAATGCGTGCAAAAAATACTCTTTAGTATTGTTGAGTTGGTTGAAATAAACTGCCATAAATTCATCATCCTGCTCCATTAGTCCAGTCAGACTTCAAGATTAGACTGTTAACCTCAGAGAACAGTGGACACAGCAGCAAAATTTCACTGCTGGTGTAAACTGACATAACATATTGATCTTAACAGTTATGCCAGGAAAGAATTCGGTTTTGGGTGGGGTTTTTTCTGCCCATATTCACAGCTGTTAAAGCTAGTTGGGTTCTTACTGTGGTATTGGAATGGTTCCAGTGACTGCAATATCTGGCTGGTGGTAAGCCTCTGTGTGAAGCCGGAAATTACTGCTGAGAAGCTGTGGCACTGATATGGACAACAGCATCCTTGGATCATGTAGACCCAGCCTGTCAACCTTCAGCACCTCATGAACATGAGTCCAAAGTATTTAGGAACATATCTGTGGGGTTTTTTTTTAATTAAAATGAATGACATACACAAACTGGAAGCACTGAGCCTGCAGACCCTGTCCTGAACTCTCTGCGTGCTTGCTTTACTTGAGGCAAGTCATCTTCTTTGTGTCTAGTCATAAGCAATGGACAAGTCCCTGATGACCCCAGATCTTCTGAGGAAAAGAAAATGAGGAAACGTATATGTAAGGGAATGACACTTTGTGTATGCTATGCTGCCAGCATTGGAGGAACTGCAACACTCACTGGAACAGGACCAAACATGGTATTGAAAGGCCAGATGAATCAGTAAGTCATTCTTGCTGTTTCTTACACAAGCTTGCTGTTTCTTTTACTTACAGGATCAAATACGATCTTACTGTTTCTGTGACCAACTGACTAGTCTTAGATGACAGCTTCAGCTGCAAACTGTAAGCAATAACCAGTTGATGGACTGAGAGTGAGGAATGTGTATGAAGTGATAGGCCTAATTTTTCTGCTTCAGCCCCTTCTTGGCAGCTGTGTGCTGGTATTATAGGTCTCCTGAGAAACTTCGAAATACTTGCTGGTAATCAGCAGACAACTGGTTGATCATGAGATACTGGTTCTTCTGCCTCCTCTTTTTCAACCGAAATGCAGCACATCAGCAGAGGAACTGTAGTGAAGAGCATCAGAGAATGTATGATTAACTCGTCTCATAAGCATACCGAAGAGAGCTAAAAATAGCTTAGCCTCTCCTATAACATTATTCCTCCATGCTGTGGCTGTGGAAACTGCACAGATACAGTTGTAAAGGAAAGGAGTTAGCCACAAAATACTCCCTTTACTAAACTGAGTTTGGGAATTATTTAAATGAAACCTAATCTACAGTGGAAATTTTGCAGACTCCACAACAGTCCCTCAACATTGCTTCCTTCTGTTGGTAGTACTTTAGCCTTAGCAGCCACATTACCTGTTGGTTTTAAAACCCATCTGGAAATTTGCTATGGATATTTTTCTTAGAGTCATAATTGGTGGGCGCAGGGAAGAACAAAAATTGTTATTCTTAAAATGCTGGCTTCATTCTTTTAAGCCAACTAGCAACTCTTGTCTTTTATTGAAGTGAGCAGAAATGCAGCTATTAGTTTCAGGAAAGACAGTTCTTGCTCTCTTATTAGAACAAATGGTGAGGAAGATAGAATGTCCTGTCTTGGGATAAATGTGCAGGCATGTTGGATGTGAAAGGTACCTAGAATATGTGGGAGATCTTTCAGCAATGCTTGTCTTACTGAGACCTAAAATATCAACATGAGCTCCTATATGCATTAAAGTAAAATACAGGGAAAACTGAGGATCATTTAAGTTCTGCTCTGAAATTCCGGCTGCCTTCCTATTGACTTCAAGCATGTTGCCTATGATTACTTGTAATGATTGTCGTAGATTTACATGTATAATTGTCACTAGCGCATATGAAAGGGAGAATAGATTGCTAAATGTTTTGACATTCATACAGAAAGCATTTTTCTTTTCAGGTTATACCCCAACAATAATGATATTGTGAATTTTGCTTCCTGGTTTGCATTTGCATTCCCAAACATGATTCTGATGTTGGTACTAGCTTGGCTTTGGCTACAGTGCTCCTTCATGGGACTCAAGTGAGTATTTAACTTATTGAGTATTTGTGTTTACTCACTGAGTAAACCCTTCAGCTAATGCAGATCAGCTTACTGAGAAATTTGGATAAAACAAATGCACTGACAAGTTATTATTTTTGTAGCAGAGAGCAGTTCCATTATACAGCAACTCATAAAATGAGTAATTTTATTACTGTAACTTTTGAGGTCTGGAAACCTTTTGTGTTTATGGGATTTGCACTAAGCTTTATTTATAAGCTTTATACGTTCTTAACATTCAGACAGAATTGCCTTTTTAATTTTCAATTTCATAGCTGAGAATTTCAACCCTAGGAGAGCTAGCATATCTGTTTTGCTACCCTTGATTCAAAACTGAGTTTTTCATTCCAGGTTGCTCCAAACTGGAGAGACTTACATCCGTTCATAGACCCCATTCTTCGGTGAGAGCTGGCATGTCCCCATGAAATACTTTGACACTGTTGCCAATTCTTTGTTCCTGGCCTCTGCTGTAGTCTGTGTCTGTCCCCCGGAGCGACAGCTTCAGAGTGGCAAGCATGTTAAATCCGTGTAATAATAATATGGTCATACTTACTTACACTATTTTCTTCTCCCTTTTTCTTAAAGCTTTAAAAAAAGCTGGGGCTGTGGGACAGAGAGAACTGCTAAAGAAAAAGCTGCATACAACGTGCTGAAGGCAGAAATGAAGAAATTAGGCCCAATCTCTTATGCTGAATTCAATGTCCTCCTAATGTTTGTCTTGCTGGTTCTCTTGTGGTTTTCCAGACACCCAGGCTTTGTAAAAGGCTGGGCCACCAGGCTCTTCCCAGAAGGAGAAAAGTAAGTTTTTAGGGTTTTTTTCATCCTGTACCCTCTTGGCTGTGCATCAGATTCCCTTGCTCTTACATTCCATTTTTACTGCGGGATCATTCATTCCAACCTTATCTGAATTCATGTTTGCTGGGCTTGATCCTATTGCTTGTGCGTGAGATCACCAATTGATCTGTTGTTTGACAGTTTGTACTGCAATGAAGTCTGGAGACTGGGACATGGAGCAAGCTGAACGTCCTAAAGGAAAATTCTGTAATGCTGGTCTCAGTTACACTGATGTACGCGTTAGTATTTTGTTTGTATGAGCTCCAATCAGTTGCAGTGTCATTTGAATATTTGATAATATCACCTCTAAACAATAGCTTAGAACTCACTGGGAAATTGATTCAGTCCTTTGAATGCCTTCTTCACATAATGTCCGTGGCATATTAAGAACATTAAATGTACAACGGGACATTCATGTCTTTATACATCTTTCTTTGAGATACAACTATTGAATCTTGGCTTCACCACAGAGAAGGAACCCTGCTCTCAGGACTTGTCATCATCTGTGACTGGTTATTAATGCGTATTGTAGCTAGTTACTTTTATTACTGTATTGGTGTTGTGGCAGGTCTGAGAGACCTCAGTCATGAACTAATGACCCATTTTGCTAATGTACAAGCCCCAACCAGGATGACAAAGAGCAGTGATTGCCATGCTGGAAGGCAGCCATCTTCTAGGAGAAAGATGTCTATTTTCTAAGCTATTTTCTCTTTTCTTCTTTAGGTATATCACTGATTCTGCTCCTGCTGTGTTTATTGCCCTGCTACTGTTTATCCTTCCTGCTAATAAACCCAAATTCATAGGCTGGAATCCAAGCATGTCTGACCCTGAACAGACTGAAGAAGGTATTTAAAAGAGGAATTGTAACACTGTGGAACAGTTAGCCAGCTCCAGCTAACAGCAGAAACGTGTCCTGGATTTGCATGCGGTTCTTCAGGGTAGCTCACCTCCCTCACATCTTGGGTAGGGCTGGGGCGTGGTCCCAGCTCATATGTATTACCTTTACCCTGTGCAGGTTTCTCAGTAATATGCATTTCCCTAGTATCATAGAACAGGAGACAAAATGTCTTCACTCTCCTAAAACATGTTCTGCTTTTCATTTCTCACTTCAGATATAAAAAAGCCATTTTTATCAGCCCCGCTGCTAGACTGGAATGTGGTTCAGAGGAAGATGCCCTGGAGCATTGTGCTGCTGCTGGGAGGAGGTTTTGCTTTGGCTGATGCAAGCGCAGTATGTCCTGACATCTGTTTTTCTCTGACTCAAAGGCGAACTTCCCTGGTTTGTTATCTAGTCCTGTATTACTGGGCATGCACCCAAAGCCAAACCCAGTAGAGATGTTCAGATCTGGAGGCAGATCTGTGAGGAGGGGTGAATGTTTGTGCCTCTTTTTCAGGAATTTGTGTGCTCTGACCAAATTTCTTCAATTTGTCTTACCTCTTGGAGGCTGCTGAGTAGTTTGGGATCTTCACTGGCTGGACAGACCAGAAAAGCAGCTTTTCTTAATTCTAATATCATCCCAATCCCAGCCCTGGCTGAAAAATAGAAGTATAGATAACACTTGTAAGATTTTCAGAACCATTTGAGGTTTGTTTAAAGGATATATCACTTCAGATTTAAACGAAACCACTACTGAAGTGGTCAGGAAGAAAATCATTGTGGGTAGATATCTTCCAAAATTCTGTACAGTGGGGTTTCTTGAACTTCTTGTCAGTGGCTGTTGCCAGGCAATATGCTGCATTCCGTAAGCCCATGGTTTGATCCTGTATTCATAAATTCACAGAAAAGGCATCTGAATTCCCAAAACAGGAAAGAATGTTGAGGTGAACCATATTGTTTCTTTCATCACTGCTAAGATGCATCTAAATCAAAGCAAGCCTTAGCTATCAACAATGCAATGCTTTGGGGAAATTCATATTCAGAGCTAAATTTTGTGGCTAGGTAGTTTTAAACCGTGGGGCAAATTAAATTAAAGCTCTAGGGACTTACATTCATCTACATACATCATACATATGTTATTAAAAGCTCCAGAGCATTAGAAGCCATCAAGTCAAAGATTTTGTAAGCTGAGTCAATCACTGCCTATGTTGCTACAGTAGAGCATTCATACAGCTTCAGTATCTTTAGAAACCTTAGAAGAACATGCCAGGACACTTCTGAGTGATACATTAAATATTTGCAATAGTCTCAGCAATAATTGTTTCTGTTAGCAAAAAAACATAATTTTGTAACCAAAGTGTGAGGAAGTATTTGGTGTCCTAGTTAAATCACAACATTTGGTTTCCAGAAAAATAAGTATTATGGACTCAGTATTATGTCTAGTTGGCAAGGAATTTCTTTTAGTGTTTGTTACAGATCATTGTACTTTCCTGGATGGTGTTTATATAATTCAGGAGTCATTTAGCATTATTTGGTAGGAATGTTACACATAACATGAGCCCTTGTTCATGAGCTAGGGGTTCTAAGCCTCACTGAAACCCACTTTTTTCTTGTCAGAACTCTGGGCTCTCAGCTTGGCTGGGTCATCAAATGACTCCACTAGGATCAATCCCACCATGGGCCATTGCAACAGTACTTTCACTTATTATAGCTGTCTTCACCGAATGTACCAGTAATGTTGCCACAGCCACCCTCTTCCTACCTGTCTTTTCATCCATGGTAAGATTACTTCCATCCTGTTACAAAATCAGTTAAACTGACAGTCTCTAGAGGCAAAGCAATATCGTATTTATTGTCTTGAATGTTGCTGCAACATTAATCTGAAAGCCAGTAATGAAACAGTCCACCTGACAGTATACCATAATGGCTACTGATTTTAGCTGGTGTTCACCGCTATGTTTATAGCATCATACGTAGACAGAGAGTGGGAATGCCAACTTTCTCCAGTCTGCCCTACGTATATGCCTGAAGCCTGAGAACCAACTTCTTGGGGGAAGAAGCTAATTCAGGATGCCTACCCCATGGTACCCTCACTGAAAGGAAGCCAGTTCAAGTCTCCTGTGAGGTGTGTCCCTTGGCCCTGGAGAAAGTGAAGTGAGAGTCACTTCTTTAATACAGTCGCTTTAATCAACAAACATCAGTTACTTCTGGTCATTTTGTATTTGAACCATCATCTCAGAACTGGAAAAACACACACACAAAAAATCCAAATGAAAACAAAATCCAGCACTATTCATCCCTTTGAATGGTTCCTTCATCTTCATGGTTTTATGCTAGAATATAGAAAATGGTAGGCCTGATTATTAGAAACGTGTCATTTTCCATAGGAAGCCAGAACAAACATTTTAAAACTTGTGGTGGAAAACCTGATAAATGTTGCTGCCTTTTCTGAGCAGAATGGAAATTGTAGCATAAAGGGAAAAATAGGTTACTTTGTTCTTTAATTTGGAAAGTACAACTGCTTTATTCTAGACTGTTTCATCAAAGTAAAATTATCCCAATCAAGGTGCTGAGCTATTAGTAACTTAAATTGGCACTTAAGTTCTGAGTCCCACAGAGTTTATGTAACATCTCGGAGTATTACTCCACATGTCTTGGTGATTATAATCCCATCCCTGTGTTACCCTGGCAAAAGTGTGGTCCAAGGTCAAAGAAAAGACTGTTGCATAAATTTGACCAGAACTCCAAATTATACCATACCACAGAGCAAAACAAACAACAAGAAAGACTCAAGCATTGTTTTTAAGTATTGTGGGAAAGGAAACGAGGGCAAAATTATCTTTAAGCATATGTGGATTTCAGAATAAAATGGTTGTCAATTACTCTGATAATCTAATACCAGGAAACAAAATGAGCATGTTCTGTATGCTTTTCTTTTGGAACACCTCCAATATGTCTCTCCATTTCATTGCAGGCTGCATCTATCAAGATCCATCCTTTGTATGTTATGCTGCCTGGTACTCTCAGTGCTTCCTTTGCCTTCATGCTACCTGTTGCAACACCACCAAATGCGATAGTGTTTTCCTACGGCCACATCCGTGTTTTGGATATGGTAAGATGATAATTACCTGGTCTCTTATCTTCAGCTCTCCATTGCTTTTATCCCGAAATATTGTGAGAATTTAATTTTCTTAGCCAAGTAGTTCAAAAGTACTTTGAAAGAGCTTTGAAAGGAAGCTCTTATGGACTGTAACTACCACTCTATGCCCCTCTCTTATGGGGTGTTAATATTCCAATAAAGGTTTGCATCTCTGAAGTAACAGTACCTTTCTCACAGGCTTTGGCAGACATACAGGCCAGCCCAATTGAAATTAAAAACTGACAAGTCATAAGTCTCTTAAACACTGAAGGGTTAAAATGCAGTCAGTGCTTTCCAGTCAGTCATCTGGGGCTTTAGCGAGTGTAGCTGAAGCCTTGTTTCCACCACGGGAGCTGAAAGCAGAAGGTAACAATCAGTTGCCCTAGGCTCTGGTCCTCTGATTGCCTGCAAGACCACACAGTGCCAGGTTCTGTACCGAACACCCAAACATTATCAGTTCTCTAACTGGAGACTTGAAGGGGGCAGAAGCTGTTCTTTAACTAATAACAGCAATTTCTTATACATGCCTTAAAACTCCTAGACTAGTTATACAGCAAAATGTTCAAAGGCTTTGCACAGTGTGTTCCCTGGTATTTCCACCTAAGCAAGAATGTAGGGCAGTGGGTACAGTGGCTATTTCTGTGATGTAGTTGACCATGTGTCTGTCTTGTCTATGTACAAATAGGCCTTGCTGCAATTTGCTGTGCTGGTGTTTGGTTATTGTTTTTGGTTTGGACTTTTGTCTTCACAGGTTAGATCTGGAATAGTGATGAACATCATTGGAGTCTTCTGTGTCACACTGGCCATCAACACATGGGGAAGACCTATGTTTGAGCTGGACACATTCCCAACCTGGGCAAACAGCACAACTAACCAGTGAGCAGTGAAGAACTCATGTGTTAAACAAGGAAAGGACCCTTAATACTACTCCCTATTGTCCGAAGCCCTATATAGAGTTTCAGATCCAGTGTCAGGTGTTTGCTGTCGTCCAGGAACCACACATCAGTTTAGGCATGAACCAACTCAAATTTATTTCGGTTGTGCTAAAACCAAAAGTGCTGTTTAATTACACAACCCTAAGGATCATGTGTCTGGATCATAAGTACGATCAAGTAATCCGTTGTACCTCTGATCAAGGTCGAGATTTAGAATTTATCAAAACTTTAAATAAAGAGAGGGCAGGCTGTTGTATCAAATGGTTTCACTGGTATGTACTTGTAAATCATTAGTGTTGAACACTGCACTCAGGCAGGGGCTGAAAATTCATTAACTATTACGTACGTCCACAAGTCAGCAGTTGTACAGAGAAATCCCTGTTGTCACTTATCTAGTGACGAAGAAAGGAAGAGTATATTGCGTTGTGTTATGTTATGTTATGTTTTTAGTCAGGCCTCAACCATGTGGTGGAATTCTTCCAAGAGAACATCCAACACATTTTCCGTTGCCTTGTTTTCACTCCCAAATCTCACTGCATTTAGACACCCTTATTGAGGGTTGAGAAAACATAATTCCATGCTGGTCATGATTCAGCTGATGTCTTGGGCAATGATGAATTAAGGCTGGCTTTGTGTTTCTTGCATAGTGGCACTGGCAGGGCCAGGAGCCTTTCCCCCTTTCTGCCACAGGGTGTGGTTTCACATGCTAACGAGTGTTTTGTTAGTGCCAGCACAGAAATGACCAGTGTCCTGGAGGACTTCACACCTGTTGTGAAAGTCCACGGATTAGCCCCTGATGTGCCTTATTAATTAACTCTGGAATTTTGGAGTGGAGACAAGGCATGAGAAAGGCTCTAATTGAAGGCGTTGTAAGAATTTGGGGGCCCAGGTATTAGGACTTGTGCTGGCTGACAGGAATAGGAGTTGCCTTGTGTACTTTGGAATTCAAGTCCTGTGAGAAAAGTGTTTTGTAGCACCTGTTTATGTCATTTCTGAAGCAGAAGTAGTCTACAGGTGTCTTTTGTCAGTGGTATGTGGATGCTTTTCATTCAGCCCTGGAGATGAAGTTGGGTGGGAGGTAAGGCAGTGTGTTACAGTGGGGAGATCTGTGGGCATGACCTGAGTTCTCCCAGGTTTGCTGTGCAGCCTTTACACAAAACCGTTCACCTCTTTTTGCCTCAGTTTGTGCCTCTGAAGCAGATGTCATGGTATCTATCTACCTCACAAGGGTGTTGTGAGGACATAAGGGTCAAATTCTGCACCCATGGTGATTCCCCACCTCATGATAAGGGCTGCAAGGTAGAAGTTATAGAATCATAGAATTCTATCCTGAGAATTCTGTCCAGAAGTTCTGTCCCCTACCATAGTAGTGTGTGTAGGATATTTAATAGTTTTGTCATTAACATGGATGTTCCTTGGAGAACTGGAAAAAATATTCATATTTTTGTCTTTAAAAGTGAGGAAAGTGTTTATCCACAAAATGACCAGGTGCTTTTCTGAGCAGAATACTACTTCAAGAATTATTTTATTTTTGTGCCTTTATCTTCTGTGCTCTTTCAAGGTGCCGTGCACCATAAATTCACCGCTGACTGTTGTTCCCAGGTGCCTCCAATGGCACCCTGTCTACCCAGCTGGCTGCATGTGGTGCAGCCTCATACCTCTTCCATGGAATAGCGGAGCATGTGGATAAGCACTGTTCCACTTGCAGAGTCTATCTAAGGAAGAGGCCAGTTCTAGTGCCAAGTGCTTTGGTCACAGGCATTTGTCACCACCTGAAGCTTATCACAGTATTTGTTTGAAGTAATTGAAACAAGGAACAGTTAAGCACCTTCTGTGCTTTGGCAGTCACTACCTAATGATTTACATCTGTAAATGCATTTGAGAAAGGGAGTTTTTCTGCCTTCTGATGGACTTCATAGTATGAGGACATTTCACCACTGCCAGGTACTTCATGGTGCTTGCTCTTCACTATGGCAAGTAACGTATAGTGGAGCTTGCATGGGTGGGTAACACTGAGCTTGCCTGTCTCAACTGATGGAGATCAAAACTCCTAAAACCGGTTTCAGCTAAAAGCCACAGGACAGACACTTCCCTGTCCTGTTTGCATACATATGGGGTAATAAAGAATGCTGGTTTTATTATAACTGGTGTATTTGATGTGTCACCTTTCTGTTCTGTTAATAGCAAATGTTTCTTTGTGGGACACTTTTATAACATCCTGTGATTGATTTGTATTTAATTTAAATGGGCAAGTTGCAGAATTAGAGCCTGGCAAATAAAAAATTACTAGAACTGTCTCCTCTCTGGCATGGATGTTTCCTGTGTAATACAGTTGGACCACTACACTAGCTTCCACTGTAGCATGGTATTGGTCCAGTAAGATCCGAGAGGCTACACACCATAGAGAACCAGTGCAAAGCAGAGATTTGGATACCACTTTAAGTACTTTCAGACCTACATGTCAGTGGTTTTTCCTTTTTCTTCAGCTAAGTGATAACTCAAGTTTCCATCTTTGAAAGTGCTCAGGTGGGACCAAATCAGGTGGCATACCTTACAAGCGGTCTCATTTGTTTCATAGTAAAAGATTCTAAGAATCTAAGAAACACAATTAGTTTTTAAGAATTAATCTTGTACAAGCTCTCCGGTATAACAGGCATGAACAGGCTTTTCTTCAGCATCAAGCATGCATGTCGTCCTGTTCCAGTGCCCTAAGTAAATATATGTGTTATTTACAATGGGTAGTGCAAGGACAATTGATTTGTTACTGGAGCTAGGTTATATCCTCCTCCAGCATTGCAGGATGAGTATCATGATAGATACTTGTCTTGCATGGAATTTATTTTTCTTCTCATCAAAGAGTTTTTATTTTAGGTGCAAAAGTTGTGATAGTCCTAAGTTAGTGGCATAAAGGAATCCATTTGTCCCCCACTTCAAAACAAGCAACACCAGAGCCGACAGAGAACACAGGAGGATCTTCAATGTGGACTTTGTCAGGATGGGTTACTCAGCCACACTGACCTAGAAAACAGTTCCTGTTTTATCATATGTGGGCAGAGTGTGATTCCTAGTGGTTAATGGGTATGTCAGCTGTCCAGCTGGCTTAACAGCAGGCAGTGCTGCCTATAAGGAGCTAAATTAATGCTTTCCTATTTTCAGTTCACTCTCTATAGAATGTCCTTGACTTTTCCTTTCTTCTCTCAGAATACCAAGTTGCTAATATTGTTTCTGCAAATGTTGAATGTCTCAAACCTGCAGAATCATGTTATGGGCTGCTGTTATACAGGGCTTGTTCCTGCTAGTTCATGTATCTCTGTGCAGACTTATTCCCACAAATTACTGGCTGTTTGGGAATGGTTACGTATGTGTGAATGAGTTCATGAATGACCAAACTCCAGGAAAACATACAAAGGGAGGACAAAGGTATTTCCTGCCTGTGAGTTGAACATCTAGATCTGTGGAATGGAGAAGGAAAACCTTTCAGCATTCTTTATATGATCTAGAAGTCACCAAGCTGAAAAAAAGCACCCAGCCAAAACAGACTCAAGCCTTATGTGGATGCAAATGTCCTCCCCTTTTCTCTTAAGTATGAGTACGTTCTTCTTTGGCCTACTGTAGAGACCGGTGTGAGCCCTAAGTCTGAAGTACGGCTATGTCATGCAGGTCACCTTTTTGGTTGGTGTCATCTGCTGAATTCAGAGTAGCAGGTGGTTCATTCCATCTGAGTTCTGATCTCACTTGAACTCACTCTTTGGTTTATTCTGACTTTGTTTTCCAGCTCAGGTGTGTTACCACTTGAAAGAGCAATAACTTGGTTGTAGCCAAAAATACATTTGCTGACAATGTGTTGGAATTGGACAGTTGGTGAAAATCAGACCAGAAAAAAAAATCACTGAATCAGTCATAGCCAAAATCCAGCAGTGATTCCGTAACACAAAAGCAACTCTTTCTTTTTTGTCATGACATATTGTATACATTTTTACATACTTCACATATTTTTTTTCCCTAAATGTCTGTGCTAAATATGGAAAGAAGTGTGTAGTAATGAATCCTGAACACTTGGATCAAGTGAGAGGCAGTTTTCACAATGTTTTCCCAGTGTGGGTGAATAAACACATGACTTTAGCACAGTCTTCAGCCTGGTTATATCACTGTGAGGTCTCCAACACTTTTGTGCATTGCAGCACAAACCCAGCAGCCCATTACTGGACGTTTGCTAGGCTTGGCATTTGTCTGCATGATTGAATGGCAGGATGCTGGTTTTCTTTTGTCTGGAAGAACCATCCCAGTGGCAGCTCTTCTGCATCAGATCGACCTTCACTTTTATGTGTCTTTGCTGGCCCCTTCATGAAGAGTCTGTGGTATAAAGAGGACTCTGCCATGCACTACAGACTGCATCTGCTTTGCAAGACATGACTGAAGATGTTCCTGCCCTCAAGCAGAGCACTTGAATCTCTCTGATTGATCTTACACAGTTGTCAGTTCTACAGAAGTATTTGCAGAATACCACGACTTGATGGTGCCAGTTGCTAGAGGTGAATATTAATGACCAAACCAGCACAATGAACAATGACGTTGTTATCCAAAGCCTAAATATAACACAGTTTAATTTAAATAACCATGATAGGAAAGAGGAGAAATTTGTCAAAAACTGGTATTGTAGAGGAGGGTGCTAGCCTTACTGTGTTATTCATTACTAAGATTCATTCTTTACTAAGATTTTGATTCTAACATTTCCTGCATAACTCTGTTGCTTCTCAGTTAGAGTTCTTAGGGATAGATTTTATACCTCCTCTGGTCTTACTTTATATCCTGCCAAGATTTTTCACCTGCAAAACTGTCAGGAGGCTTTTTAATGCACATTCATCTGGACAGCCATTAAAATCCGGCTTCTGCTATCAACAGAACACTCAAGGAGGAAAAAAGAAAGTTCCTACTAGGTTGATGAGCATTTTTTAAAGACTTCTATCTAGATAGTGGTTACCTAAAGATTGCTTAAAGATTTTCTGGATGCAGCATTTTACACCACTGTCTTGTAGCAAATAAATGACAACACAAAATGAAACTTTATTGAATTCTGATGATGTAGTTTGT